GATCGGAACGTCTTCGCGCACGAAACGAAATATACGACCGAGTTTCTCTACTGTTCGTCCTTCCTTCTTCCTTCCTTCCTTCCTTCTTTTCTCTTCTTCTTCTTCTACCACTTTCCTACCGTTACTTGTTCGCGCTCGAGCGTGTCCGGAAATGCCAATCGAAGCTCGATAGGAAAGTCCTGCCAGAACTCGAAAGTCCGTGGAATGAATTCTTCCGTGCTTTATTTCTCCCTTCGGGAAAAGAAGAAGCGGCGATAACAGTTTAAATGAAGCGCGTCGCATCGAGCGAGATTGAAAGAGAGGAAGTCTCACGACAATTAAGCGCATTTGCGTAGAGATCAGCTCGTCCGGGACGCGACTCGAATAACGTTAGGCGAATCCAATAAACAATCTCCTCAACACCGTCCGGTCTCTCGCGCGTTCAAGGAGAGCCCGATTCCGCTAACTATCTGGACGAATGGGCGACACGTTAATGCACAAAGCCGTTCAAAATCAGTATTTCTACGCGGTAACGAAATTTTAATCACCACTGCCGTACAATCTCTCTCTCTTTCGTGTCGGCAAAGCTCTTCGGCAGAACATACGTGACCATCGTGAAACGGAACAAAACAAACGGAATTGACCGCCGGAGCGGTGGATCTTTGCGCGGTTTGTTTCGATTCAGCGTGTCACAATCAGAGGATCCTACGAGAGGAAGATCAAAGTAACTCACAAGCGTGCGACGTGTGTACACGTTGCCGGATCAGCGGCCCCGAGAGTGTACCGCGTGTGTGACTAACTTGATCAACGTACGAGACATCAGAGCGAACTCGAATTAGTGTTACATAACTTTGTGGCCGGCTGTCACGGTCTCGCTTGCATCGGCGAGTAACGCCGAGCCTCGACGAGGATGCGCGATAGTGGATAGAAATCTCGCGAAACGTGATGATGTTCATTAAAAAATTAGCTCGACGAAAATTAGAAATACGCGCGCGGACTAGTATAATCGCTTCGGGAGAATTGGCAATTTTTAGCAGCGCATCACATGCGCGCGCGTGTGTGTGTGTGTGTGTGTGGGGTGTATTGTTTATAATTCCATTTTGAAAGTGCGAATCTGTTACGCGAGATTGTTACATCATTGTTTCGCAAATGATGAGCGTCACAAAGGATGACAATTTAAACTGTCAATTTCGTGATTTACGTCAATCAGTTGTCGACACGCAGATGGTACCGCAATATTTAGCGCCAGAGGGGATGATACGATTCATGCGGTAGAATTTAGTATATGACCCGCGCGCGTTTGTATCTCTGCTTGTGATAATGATTAGACCATCACGGTTGAATAACAGGCTATTGCGAGCTGGCAATAACAAAGGGATACCATAACCGACCAATTTTAATGCCCTTCCACCGTAGCGCCCACACGTATTGACCGACGCTTTGACCGTACTCTACTTTTGCAACGGTAAAGCATTATTGATTGCAATCGGGTTTTCGTTGTGTTTCGATAGCCGTAAAAATATTATGGCTCATAGAATACTCATCGTCGATAATGCAACGCTGATGCACTATTTATTATACGATCGTTTCACGCTGTTACGCTTCCGCAGAGTGAAGTGAAAATTTATTATGTTACGCGGCAATGTAATCCCTCGAAAATATTCAGCAGATATACAATGGATTTAGTAATAATAAACACAAATACATCATCAACAATTTAATGATAAATTCATACGATATTTTAAATAATTAACAACAAAGACGAGAAGAATCCAAGATTTCACTTGAATTGCACAGAGAGAATTTTCTCTTAGAACTTTTACGTGAACAATATGCTGTTGGAAAAGTGTTTTATAAGAGTTTTTCTAATTAATATTTACCACAATAAAAATATTAATATCTAGCACAATAAGATATAAAATATACTCGATTAATTTTACTATGTACCTATTAATATTTTTTATTGCGATAAATATTAATCGGAAAAGAAAATTCTTCCAATACCATATTGTTCACGATCACCATGATTTTCATAATAAATTCCAAGAGAAAATGCTCTCCGTGTACGGTTAATAAAAAGACGCGAATTTTTGTTCAGAATTAAAAACCGTCTCATCCGTAGTAAATGATAACGTAAAATATCGTCCTGGTTATCGGTACTACGAATTGATACTTTGCGAATGTTACCGCCACTCTTTACGAGTACTTTCGCAACTACGTTTGACCGGTCGACCTTAATACGGGAGCGTGCAGGGACTGTGGGCAGAAGCATGGAAAACGAGGGAAGTTTCGTCGACAACCCTCGGAGAATGTACCCTACAAAGCGGCAGACGCGGCAAGGGAGAGAAAGGGTCGAGAGGCTGCACCAGGAGAGCAGGAAATTACGTCTCCGGACGTCCGTTCGTTCGGCTTCAGAGCACCGCGGCACAGGTCTTGAGAGAAACCGGCGCTTTTCCTCACATAGAGCGAGACGCGAGGGAAAACGAGAGAAAGGGAGAAAGAGCTATAAGAGAGGCGCGTCCATGACCGGGAACGAGAAAAGAATTCTGCGGCGCGAAAAAAAAAAAAAGGAAAGCAAATTCGGCTGCAGTAAATATACTCAGCGTTCGGACAGTATCCAAGTGTACTTTAGGAATGCGATTGGTATATACGGATACGTATTCGCTGACGCTTTAAGCTCGCGCATTGAGGTTGAGCAATCACGTACGAAATTCCTATCCTTGTATACGATAGTCGCGTCGACTTGCATCGGTGCTTGATACAAATCGAAGCGCCGATGCTTGTAACTCGCTTCGCTCGAGTAGAAATCGCTGCTTCTTCGCGAGGAAGCAAACGATCCTTGATTGTACAGCACGCCCGAACGAAGTTCTATCTATCTCGAGGCTTTAATACGTTTCTGTGATTGCAGTGCCTGCTTGAAACGTTCTAGGTCTATATAATGACAGGCAAAGTAAACCTCATCGGTTTCGAGCACTCACTTACCGCAAACTATCCTAGTCTGAATTAATTTCGAGTCACCCTCGAGCGTCTTTCCTATGTTAAGATCACCGCTATAATTACGCTATAACCCCCCGGCCATGGCGAGGCAAGGTTGACGTTTCTTGACATCGATACTCTTTGGACGATTACCCTCATCGAGAGAGAGAGAGAGAGCTCGGAGTGGGCATAACGATATCGGGTTCTTGCTAATTTCTCATGTCGCGCCTCGTTAATTATAATACAGGCGGTAAATTGAACTGCCGATACATTCGATCCATGTAAAATACGAATCTCCATCGATCGATCATCTGAGAGCGAGAATCTTCGCGCGCGGTCTTAATAATAACGAAACATTCGCGTGAAATGATTTATTAAAGGAGTTTGTTGTACGATCAATCTTTTACTCCTTTTTATTACCAATTAGGAAAATATAACTAACTAAAAACAGGATTTATCGCGCAAAATAGAGTTTATAGAGAAAATTTCCTTATAGATGAAAATATATCAGAAGATGAGATTGTATCAACACAAGTCTGCGTCTTAGCTAATATAGATTATAGTGTCATTTAATATTTAAGAGAAAATTAGCTTCCTTTCCAATATTCGCGGAATTTTTGTCCGTTGATTAATTTTCTCGATACGGACGAGGTTTTATAAGCTTTCTGCCTTGTGATATACAGTTTTATCCACTTAATTCTATTAAACGATACAGCTCAGAAAAGTCTAGCGATCTGCGAATATCCCGGTATCTTTTCTTTTTCGTTTCACGGTGAAAATTCCTCTGTTATATCAGCGATAACATCGTCGCAGAGCGCAAAGCAACTGCGAATCGTTGACATTCACACGATACGGTTGAGAGATTGAAAAAAAGGTGCCCCGTAACCGTGATTGTACAAGTACCATATGCATCCGGTACCTCCATTTTCTAGATCCGGAAGCAGGCGCGAAATGTTGAAGAGAATGTCTCGTGCAAACAGAGGAAAATAAAGAAAAAATAAAGTAAAAAAAAAACAGATAAAAAGGAGCGCGAGAAAAAAGGAGTAAAAGTATAAAAAAGAGTAAGGCAATGTAGCTGTGCGAGATGGAAAGAGAGGAGCTTAAAAATCTATTAAAATCTCCGCGTTCATGCGCAAAAAAAAAAGACACAGCAAAAAATAGTCATCACGAGATAGAACCGTGTAACTTTTCTAAAAATAGCAAACACCTCGCAGATTGCTAATATAAGTGATGTTATCCCTTCTTTTTGCGAGTAACGACGTTTCGCGAACGGATAAGCAAATCGAATCGCCGTTATATTGTTACTTCAGTCGAAGCGACATAGTAGTTTCAAAGTAGATATCGCCCTCATCGGAATATCCAACTCGTCCCATTCTCGTTACTCCGTCTTTGCCTCGAAGTAATAACTGAAGTGAGCAAATCTCGAAAAGCTCCGGGAGGCCGCGTGACTAAATTGAACGGGACGACGGGAGGTGAGAATCGAGATAAAATTGACTCGCTACCTCACGAGAATGACCGGATCGATTAGACTTCGTCGAGACGACGACGACGATGGGTTCTGGGAACATCTGTGATTCGACGTTCTTTTATGATTCGCCGAACAAGAGAACAAAGAAAGCTAAAAAAAAAAAAAAAAAAAAGAATGGACCGATTGGACATGCCGCTGGAAAATCTTCTCGTAACTCCCTTCGTAGTAAAAATTCTGGTGCCAGAAAACCCGTTGTTCACCGACATTTAGCTTAAATTGTAATGTGTGTTTCCGATGAAAAAAATCTCTCTACGGTATCGATATAAATTGTGTGCATCGAACGCACACAAGATTAACACAATGTTCCTCAAAGTAACACAGCTTGGATACTAGTGATCCATTAGTTACAAGAAGCGTAATTGTTATCCGGCGCGAGCTGTTTATCGGCGTATCTCTCTTTCTGCGGGTAGCCGGCAGCTCATTGCAACTCGCTCTCGCTACCTGACGGTTAAATTCTAGAACGACGCATTCAGCGCCGCGGACAAAAGCGTCACATCTGAAAATGCGAAGCACTCACCTTGGGTTGCCACGAAGAGCAGCGTGGTGCAGAGCGTTGAAGCCATTGTTGTTGGTGAGGGTGATGTCTGCAGCGTGGTCTAACAACAGAGCCAACATGTCATCCCGTTTCTTAGAGATCGCATCGTGAAGGGGTGTGTCGCCTTCCGAGTCCTGTAAGCAAAAACACATTTTCCTCTATTTTACATATATACATATTGTATATCGTGTATTTTGTAATAATTAAAATATACAAAAACAAGATATAACGAAAACGAGACATATATATACAATATTATATTTTAATAAATAAAATACGGGATGTATATATAAATCGTTTAATAATCAAAGTACACGAAAATAAAATATGCTGAAATACTTGAAATTTGTAATGCAAAAAAAAATTTAATTAATATAATACAAAACAATATATATATATATTTAATATTTTTTAGATGCGTGCTCTATATTTTATTGATATCTTTTTAATTGGACATTTCTCTCCCATCGAGTTAATCTTTTCAAAATCCGTGAGTCATGTTTAAAGAATTGAAAGACAGGAGCACTGTAGATAGCGAGACACGAAGCTATACCATTCAGAATCGGAGCAATGCTATGGTCAATTTTAACTCTTTTACCATTGGAACGATACCTATGAGCTTCGGTCGCCGATAAAACGTACGGAAACAAGGGCCATCCATTAATGCCGAACAACATGGTACAAACTCGTCGTTGGCAAACAAATGGATGAACGAACGAACGAACGAACGAACGTAGGGATAAAATGATGGGCTAGTGTAACGTGTATCGTAGACTGTAGACGATACAAGTATTTAGTTTAAAAATACGTGTAACAAGAATAAATAAGTTTTCGAGAAAGAGTCGCGTTTATCGCAGGCGTTCTAAGAGAAAATTTAATTATTCCTCGTGCCTTTATCAATAGTTATTTCAAATATTAATTAAAACTAAAGTTGCAGCCATGCATTTAGATCTTTATTAATCCAACAGATTTTCTCTTCAGAGAAAGAGATAATCTCTCGTTTATATACCCGAGCTCTAGTTTATATACCGTTCGATGCCCGTCCGCGATAATAATTCATTCAATGAATAGGCGATATCGGCGAGATACCATTTCGCGATAAATCGAAAACGACGAAGCGTAAAATAGCATCTGCGACAAGCTCATGACGACGCTCGCATTCCGGCGCAAAAACTAGGAGGAATGAAAAGCAAGAGCCGCACTTTCGCGGCATCGGCCGCGCTGCCGGCTGCGTAAATAATAGGGCATCAGGCACAGATACTTTATGGGATCAGTTGGAAAAATCCTTTGTATAACTCCAATAACCGTGGAGGATAAATCTGCCGGCGCTGTCGAGAACCACCGGCGCTATCTCGCACTATAAATGCTAGCCATGTGTCACGCCACTAGGTGAGGGTGAAGGAGAGAAAGAGAGAGGAAAGCAGAAGAAGCAAAAGAGAGAGGAAGAGAGAAAAGAGTCAGAGATGGAACTGGAAAACGAAGGTAAAGCAAAGAGGTTGAGGGAAAATACTATCGAATGTGATCCGGGCCAAAGATCGCGCCATCACAAGACCGTGTCTTATTTACCTGATCGTAAAATCGGCCATTAGGGCGACCATAATTCTCCAGGGTAACTGAGATAGTGCGATGTAACAGTGGTAATTATTACATTGATATACGCAATTAAACAAATTCTACATCAGCGATCGAGAATGTAGTTATACACAGAGAAAATTTTCTCTTAGAATTTATCCGAAAAATCATGGTAATCGTGAAGCAATATGGTATTGGAAGAATTTTCTGATTAATATTTATCACAATAAAAATATTAATATCTACCACAATAAGATATAAAATATACTCGATTAATTTTTTTACTATGTACCTATTAATATATTTTATTGCGGTAAATATTAATCAGAGAAACTCTTATAAAATTCTTCCAATACTTCATATTATCCTACGAATACCTTGATTTTCAGGATAAATTCTAAGAGAAAATTCTCTCCGTGTAGTGCAAGGAAAGACATTTGTCAAAATACAAATAATGAGACGGATACAAATAATAGCGCTATTTATATTTCCGATAACATTTTTTATTACCGTCAAGGATCGCAAACCCGAAAGAAGATTTGTACGACAGAATTGTGAATTCCTGGATGCGAACTTTCAATCTGCGCGATCCTCCTTCTTCCGTTCGCTACTGTTCCCTCCGCAAAAGGGTTTGCATTATAAGCTTTCTTCCGTTCTCCGCACACGATCCGACCTTTCTTTTTCTATACATATATCTCTCCGCCGCCCACTCGTTTAAGTCCAACAAATGACATTCGATTCATACCGCGCGCGCCGCAGGTAACGTTCGAATAACTTGCGAAAACTTTAATTTCGACATTTCTCTCCACGTCGCGACCGTTTCGTTGTCGCGATTCATCGCCGCTGGCCATCCCAGCCGTCGCGATCCGCCTCGAGACGCTCGATCATTCTTAATGCCGACAAATTGCCAGAGACTTGTCAAATGTAAGAAGTACGAATGGTCGGATACGCGAATTTTATCAGCGCCGGACGCTTTGTCACGCGTGAGTCGCCGTGAAACGTCGTGCGTCCGGGAATAAAAAAATTGTTACTCGTTACTTGATAAATGGAGAACGAGGAGCAGAGTCGCGAAACCAAATAAACGACATTTCGAAAGGGACCCTCTCGCGTCTGAGATCTATGGATATATACCTGGCGTTGCTATCGGCTATACCGACGATATGTACAGATCGGGCGAACGAGAGCCGGCGAAATGAGAAAAGACAACAGCAACACAGGCGAGCAACCTGATCAGTGGAAGTGTGGATGACAATCAGCGTCGGTGTCGAAACCAGGACGGCGAATCGACGACGGGGACCGGGAAGTCGAAGCGGGTTGATTGCACCGCAAATATTGACATCGCTAATTCCCTCTCTCTCTCTCTCCTTCTCATCGGCCTCTCGTCGTTCGGCTCGTCGAAGGCGACGAGCTACACTAATGAGAGCTTTAAGACATCAGCAAGACGTAAAGCAAACTCGGATTTATCACCGTCATTCGAAGTCGTGGGAGCAGGCATCGATGTGGCGCAAGGATGCTGTGTGGGATAAAATCGCTGCTGCCGGGAATTATAATGATATATCAATCAAGTGCCGTCTCATAATAAATTGATTGCGTTAGATCATCGTGATTACATTGATTCGCAATTCGCGTAATATACTGCATTACGTGTATTATTGAGATGATATATATCGCGCATAATTTTCATCAATAATGTATTACGCGGTAATTTGCTCGATGTACTCATCTTAATTTTGAATGAAAGCAGCCCGAGCCGAATCTCGGTGTTTGACTATCGACGCTCGAACGAGTTCTTGGGACAGCGTTTCTCATCAAATCTAACTAGAAACGATCGCGTAAGGCGAGTTTCCGCAACGCGTACCGAGCGAGCTCGACTCCTTTTTCGACGACGACGATCGATGGTGATTTCGCCGAAGACCGAAGGAACGAGAGGAGAACGCGAGTGTGGACAAATAGAGAAAGAAAGAGAAGAGACGGGGACGTTCTTCCACTTGGATCGTTACCTCAGCTTGGGAAGAGAGGAGGAAAAGAGGGTGGAGTTCGAGCCGCAATAGGAGTCTGGGAAGATAATGCAGACCGTGAGAAAACGGAACCAGAGCACCCTCAAAGTCCGCGCCCGCGCTTGATTGCAACCAGCCTTTCCCACCCTCTGCGAAGAGGAGGAATCCCGGGGATTCCTTTAGCCGATGCACCGACAAAACGGGACCGAGTAAGGATGTCTCGCAAAGAAGGGGTCTGGTATGCGGGTAGTGTACGAACGCCTACGAAGGAAAAGGAGAGAGAGAGAGAGAGAAGGCCGAGTAGACTGCGGAAGTGCAAAGGCTGCAAGATTCCCCGGTTGGCTGGCTAAAAATGGCAAATGCTAAAAACAAGAGTTGGCTGACTCGTTACGTCGATCGTGCCCGGACTGACTACTCGATTTTGTTAAATGCGCGCGTAGGCGCTTATGACGTTTGTTCGCCGGCACGAACACGCTGAAATAAAGTCATCTATCTATCGCGAAATAATCGCGATATCTACGGTCGCGCGAACTTATCGTCCGCAGTTTCCTTATCTACGTCGAGTTAGAACCAACTGCTAATTGCTCCATCAAGCAAATCTAGGTTAAATTGAACTGAAACACAACGCAAGTTCCAAACTTGATCACGAAAGTAAAATGGCATATCGTGTAGAACTTTCAGATGACATTGAATTTCCGCGAATCAGACAATATAATGTCGAGAAAATTGGATAAATACCTAATTTATATAACAATCAATTCATCCGTATCTCATTTGAAATCATTGATTCGCTTAAAAATCGCTATCTCAATACATCGCATAACGAGCGAATAAAGTAGATGAGCATGAATACCCAACGATTTATTAAAACAATCATTATCACGCATCTCGCTAATTTCTGATCAATAATTCGTAATCACGCCGAGATAATATCGAGTCGTAGCCGTGTCGACGGGTCGTAATCACCGTGCTGGGACGTCACGTTGATTTCGCGACGGATGTATGTGAATACACGTACGCGCTGTCACGTATGGTTTGGCTCTGATGCGCGCCTCTAACGACCCGAATCTACCTGGCGAAGGCAAGCCCCTTCCTTTCCCTCCCGCACTCGTACACGCAGTCGCACGGTTGCATAATATTACGTTTATACCTGACATTCATCATTAGCGCCGGTAATTTATGTCGGGCGCGAATGGCTCCGCGCTCGCGAACGGGCTAATTAATATAAATTGCCGGCGCGAGGATTACGAGGTGATGCCGCGACGCGATTCATTGTGTACCCTGCGAATCAGGCGATTAAGCTGACGGATCGTCGGGAATAAAGAATTTCGAAATGCGCGGAAATAAGTGCCGCGCGCATATATTATAGTTCAAGTCGTTTCTTCGCTTAATTTATCGAGGACGGGAAAAAAGAGCCGAGATATGCGCTAATTTCAAATGGGATCGATGTGACCCAGTTCTTTCGGAGTCGAGTTTAGGCGACGCTTAATCCCGGACACGGCGCCGCCAAATGCAATTTCCTCCCTTCCTCTTCCACACCCTGTCCGAATCGAAACATCCTGATG